GTGGATAATATGGTATAAATGACATCAATTGAAGGATAAAATAAACATATATTACGTAAAAAAATACTAATGAATGAAAAACAAAGTAGGAGCTTATTAGCAAACAAACATTGTGTAAAAAAATATTAAACTATTTTTCATTCAATTAATCATTAAATTTTCTCATCTTTCCCATTATTACTAAAATAATCTTCAATGATAAAATGTAGAAAATAATTAAAAGGTATAAAATAATTACGTATAAATAATAAATTGAAAACTTAGTGGACCAAAAGTACTTGTTTTTCAAAAGTTTGGGGGTTGGTTGGGCCCCTATCTCTACCAGTGACATCGGTTATATAGCATCACATAAGTGAATGCATATCCGATATATAAATGGATGCATATCAAATTATCAATGTATACATGCATTGTGTAAAAAAATATTAAACTATTTTTCATTCAATAGTCATTAATTTTTCTCATCTTTCTCATTATTACTAAAAATAATCTTCAATGATAAAATGTAGAAAATAATTAAAAGGTATAAAATAATTATGTATAAATAATAAATTGAAAACTTAGTGGACCAAAAGTTCTTGTTTTACAAAAGTTCGGGGGTTGCTTGGGCCCCTGTCTCTACCTGTGACATCGGTTATGTAGCATACATAAGTGAATGCATATCGATACATAAGTGGATGCATATCAAATTATCAATACATACATGCATTCTATCGAGTAAAAATTATGTATTGCGCTACAGGTCAGGACGGAGCCAATGAAGGACAAGGGGGCGGCTGCCCCCCTAAACTTTAAAAAAACATTTAATATGATACTTTAACTTTTATTTGTTAAAAATTTTGTTTTTATAATATGAATTTCAATAATCATTTCAACGTAGGGAACATATTTAGAATTTAAATAAAGAGTTTTAAAAAGTAAGGATATGATTCAAATAAAATGAACTTTATATTAATTTAATTAATTAATTTAGAATAGGAGTTCTTAAACATTTCTTCATCTATTAAGTGTAAGTAAAAAAAATTTTAATTCTATATTTAAACAACTTTAAATTTACAATTCCCTTTAGTATTTTTTTTTTATCTTTCTTAATAATCTATATTGTAATTTAAAGTTTTTGTTTATTGGGCATCATGTAGGTTTTTACTTTTCGTGATTGAATTTATAATTATGTTTTTTTTATGTTAAATCAATCTAAGTTAAATTTCACTTTTTAAAAGAAAAATTCTAATATTTTTTTATAATATTAGTGTTTATTAACATAAATTCCAAAAAATAAAAGGAAAAACACTCCAAAATTATGTTATTTCAATAAAACCAAAATACTTTCATTCTTACTTTAAAAATATGTTGTTTTTATCTTTTTCAATATAATTTTATTGAAATAATATAATCCTTTAATATTGTCCTTCCTTTTTTAGAGATTTTGACTAACAAAAATATTTTTTTTATTTATTTTTTTTAATTGATCATAACATAATTTATTGTTGTGATATTTTATTTTTTATTTTGATAAATATGTTTATATATTTTTTTAAGAATATATCAATGAAAAAACTAATAAACAAAAACTTTTAAAAAAATAAATTAGTGTCTCACAAAATACTTAAAAGCTTAAATTTTCAACAATAATTCTCGCCCCCTCTAATTGAATTTCTTAGCTCCGTTCCTGCTACAGGTATTATGTTTTCAACAAATGTTATTAGCAAACTATATCAATGTAAATCATTTTCAATTATTTAATGACTGACCCATAGGTGAGGCTGGGATCATAACTGAATTTCAAAAAGTTAAAACAGAAAAGTTTAATTTTTTTTTAAAATTTTTATCTTGGGTTGCACAATATATATGAAACAACTCTCTCTCATTCTCTAACCTATTTCACCTATAGTTATACAATTTGAATTTATAATCTCTTTTATTTCTATATTAAAGAAAGTTTCTACTTACTAATTTACTTAAATTGTTGATAGAAAAGTTTAAACTCTTGATAATCGAAATGTTTAATATTGTCTTGTCAGCAACAACACGCGCATATTCTATATCGTGTTGGAGATAACCACTTGTTTGCCCAATGCTCAAAGATCCAAAGCCTATGGATGAGATGCTACAATTGGTGGGGCATATCCCTACCCCTTCCTAACACAATTTCTCTTTTATGTGAAGCTCACAGTCTAGGGATCAAAAAACTGGTAAATTCTGATGTTTAGTTTCTAATTTTCTTGGTGGTTACATGGTCCATATGGTACACGAGGAACTCTATTATTCACAATTCACAACAATGGGATGAAGACAAAACTTTTGACTTAATTCAAAGGGGGACTTTTGTTTGGATAAGGGGAAGATCTGCTAACACCATGTTTCCTTTTTTCTACTAGTGCAACTCCCCTAGCACATGCGTCCAAGAAATTCCCAAGAGCTAGATCCTATATTTTAGTTCCCAGTTATTCTCATAGCATTTGGAATGCTTTCATAGTTCTGAAAATGCTTTCATAGTCTTGGAATGCATTCATTTTTTTTTATTTGCTATGACCTTTTGATATTATGAATTGAGTACCTCTTATACTTTTATTTATAATAAATTTTGATTCATCTAAAAAAATACCGCGATGGAGATGAATAGGAAAAATGAATGCCGTGTGTGGTTTGACACGTCTGATGATGATATATAGAAAAGAAGACGAATAAAGAAGAGTTGGACAAGGGCAAAGCTGATTTAGAGCCATGTGTTAGTGAAACGGAACTTTCTAACTACCATACCTAACCCTATCTTGATCGGAGTTGGAGATTTCATGCATGTCTTTGCCCTCTCCGGGCGAACCACTCCCATGTGGGTTTGGTGCCCCCACGTTGTTGTTGTTTTCAGTCTCATTTACCATATACTTTGCCATTTCCATGGAATTCAATTTGCATTTTTTCTTTTTTCTTTATTCTTTTTTAATTTTTGGTCTCTTTCTTTTGGTAAATGGGTCTGTTGAAAAAAATGGGGCAGGTACGGCAGACTTAAGTCTCTAATAAAATTCGTACACGAAACCGTGGGAGTGTGCCTCTTCGGGATAGGGACGTTGCCATGAAATTCAAATCGTGATACGCCAAAAAGGCATGTAAAGAAAATAACTACCGTGAAAGCAGGCATATGCACATGTCTTCGATTAAAATCTACTGTATATGTTGCATGTGGACACATTTTTCTCCATGCTTGTTGATTGCCCTCGTTGAGGTGAGAAAATTTTCTATATAACGGAGATATTACGTCAACAATATTCTCTTTTATTTAGAAGAAAATTTTGAGTTTTTTTTGTATTAATTTTTTGATATCAAGTAATTACATTGGATTCTGACTAATTTGAAATTGAATCGCGTCAAACCTCATTAGGAGGGAACCTCTTTGAGTGTTTGTTTCTTCATTTACAAAATTCAAACTCGATACTGAGAACAAAACTCCTTTCACTTGAACCAGCAAATCATTGATATTTTTTGAACTATTTGTTTGTGCTTTTCTAAGTGGAATTTATGCCCAAGACCATAAATTCAAACTCGATACTAAGAACAAAACTCTTTTCACTTGAATCAGCAAGTCATTGATATTTTTTGAACTATTTATTTGTGCTTTTCTAAGCGGAATTTATGCCCAAGACTATACATTTGCTCACTAATTAGCAGTTATCACGCCCCAATTAAAGATGGTAATTCATTTGATATGTATATGCTAGCTATATATAGCTAGCTAGGTTTTTTAGGTTTGAAACCATCATATGTCCTTTTCTTTGTCCTTATTAACAGGGCGTGGTCTTATATTCCTCTAAAAGGCACTTCAACTTAACCTTTATTATAATTTTTTTTTCAGAGAATATGGAAGCCTTAATTTAAATTTAAAATGAATATATGTGATAAGATTCTTTTCATTCGGTAAGACGCATAAATTAATATATATTACTAATTTGATACCCACTCTTAAATTTTTAAATTTCAAGATTAAACTAAAGGTCATCAAGTTGATGCACGGTGGACCCATATATATTTTCCTTTTTCTTTTTTAAAAAAGGTAACAGGAAACCCTTGATGTTCGTTTCTTCTATAAATGTAAGAAACGCAGAAGGCCATGTGAATATAAACGCAGGCTGCCTGGTGAAATGGGTCACATGCCGACAACCTACGTGGCAATGATTCAGAAATGGCTCGAATTTTGTCTGTCTCCGCGCGTGACCAAGGAAAAGAGAAAAAAATCAATAAAGGCAGAGGCGCATCATGTGATGGGGGGGAAGAGGGGCCCTCCGGTAGTTATGGAAGTTAAATGTCAACAAGTGTCATCACAAAAGCAAGCATATTTATGCCCAACCCAACTTGAATCGATCTATCCATGCATTCCTCTCAACATCCATGTTAATTATCTAACGATCATCTTGATTTGCATGTCGGATGCAATGAGGATCAATCTCCGCTCAGTTTGAAACATTCACACGCGGTATTTTTACAAGAAAAATTTGGTCAGAAATTGACTCTTAAGAGACTAAGCAAACCCAAATATTGATTAATTAATTAGAGAAATGCATCCGTTTCAATAATGGAAAATAAGTCGTGTTAGACCGGGCTAGACCACCCTAGGGATTTTATTGGACAGGAAATTGAAGCTGACCATTCAAGTTGGTCCATGGTGAATTTTACTTTCCTCCAATTTTCCATGATTGTGTCACCGAGTCAACTCGTGTGCTTCTCTAGTCATGAGTGTGTACCATTTTTTAATCATTTCACTTAACTAGTAAATTCGTAGATGGGTCCATCCATGTAGTGTGAAATCGTGATAAAAATGACAAACATAGAAAAATAAAAAGTTCGGCCGTTAGAAGATTAGGTAACACTAAAGAAATTAAGCACCCAATGGATAGGATAAAATCTTATCCAAATATTTGGCTTTACAATACGGTTGAATTTGACTAGGTACCAGCACCAAACCAGTCTCTTTTGGCTGTTGGAAAACAGCAAAGCGGGAAAACACCAATTCATGGCCCTGTTACGTAAATCTTCCACTCAATACTATTCGATAGACACCGACTAAACTTTGATTGACTACTTACCTAACATGTCTCCAAAGTCGAAACAAAAATGAAACCAGAAATTTTGATGGAGCTTCCTGTCACCTGTAACTCTAAACATGTGATATTCCGTTTGTTCAAGAAATAAAAATACAAATTTATATATTAATTAAAAACTTAAATACCATTGTTTAAGACAATCATAATAAACAAAATAAAGATCTTGCCTTGGCTCAAGTATTTGAAGGCTCCATTTTGCTTGCGGACACATTGTCTCAATGCCAATACAGGCTTTGACACTGCATATCCACATCGTGCATGATGGCCCAAACTTTAAAGACTAGGGCGCTCAGACATCACATCCAAGGACCTACATCAGAAGGGACAGTTGGCCCTGCATCAGAACTGAGTCCTTGGGCCAGGCAAGGTTGTTTCCTCGCCGCAGCCGGTATTGGCCAATTCTTCAATTAAAAATGCTGAATCAGGGCTTCCCTCCTACAAAAAGAAAAACTATACCAAAATCTAACCTTTGTACAAAGAATCACAATTAAACAGAAATACAAACTCAACAAGTGCAATTTGGCATCATAAATGGAAGACATTAAAAACTTGTGGTTCCGAGAAAGGAAAACATTTATGTCTAGCATAAATTAAAGGGTAGCTTAAAGAAGGCTAGATTTGCAAATCATAGAATGAAATAATGTGCCAAAAGCAGAAGACAAGAAAAGTAAAACTTGGTTAAGCTCTTTAGGGCAAATAATTCTCCTCCAAGCAATATAGATATAGCTACAGATAGCACAATAGAGTACATCACTCTCATATACAGGGTGTTAATTCCCAAGTGTGGTATATACATATACTCTCAACTATTAAGCATACCCAGGGCAGGGCACTGAAGTCTTCTTATATACAGTTAAACAAGGCTACAAGAAACATTAATCACTAGCTTGTTTCAAGTTGAAAGTCTGAATAACCCTGCTATTTATTTCACGATTCTCTCCTCACTCCATGTCCATGTTTCAGATTTCAAGCTTATTATGAAACAGACTGGCTTCCCCTGTTCGTGTTGAGATGAGGAGAGCTTACACTTGGTCAGTAATTGTATGAGTTCAACTGCCAAGGCCATTATTCTTGATTAAATGGTTAGTTGATAAATGGTGCCTTTTCACAATCATAAGATTTCTTGCCTAAGCATAGTTGATACTAAATATGTTGAGGAACCAAAAGGGCATGATAAGTACACAAGATAAAGCCAGCTTTTGAAACACAAAAAATAAAAAAATAAAAAAATAAAATAAAATTTCTTGCAGGGTATTGCCAATGCAAGGCAACAGCCATGGAGGGAAGCCCAGACAGGATTATAGCCACCAATGGGCATGACAACATGCGAAAAGGGGTTAAATAGCAATCTTGTGTCTCCATTGTCATATTTGAGCCCAGGAATATCAGTACTTTAATTTTCAAATGCATTTTTAATTTTTTCTAAGAGACTATCCAAGTTGTTAGGATGCTAAAAATAAATATTAATAGCAGTTTGATTTGCATAGGAAAAAGAGGGGCAGACCCACTACCTTCTGTTAACAGACTATGTCAAGTATGCAAACTTTTATGTTATCGATGTGTGACATGCAAATCAGAGGCTTCTGAGGAGTCTTGGTTAGTGTCTCATGACAAGAGATGGATCTCAAGAAGACAGTGGTGGCCCCATATAGGCCCATGGCCTCAAATAGTTTAGGAAGAAAAAGCTCAAGCAAGAGCAAAATTGCCCTACCATGGGCTCAAAAAGTCGGAAGAGGAAGTATCAGAAAATTGCCCTACCCTGGGCCTAATCCTGGCTCCGCACTTGCAAGATATTGACAAAATATGTATACTGAATATACAAACACCCTTCAAATTGCATCCCAAATATCACAAGACATGCAAATACAGAAACTTAAAAAAACAAAAGTAAAAGAAAACTTCTCTCTCTTGTTTGTTTTTCTCAAAGTGTCTGTGTTAGGCTAAGAGAGAGAAGAGGTTAACAAAGGAACACTACTTACCTTTCACTTAGATCAAATTGAAGAAGATCTTCAGAAAGGCAAGTATAGAAATGAATGTTCCTCCCAAAAGACATATTTGAAGAATTTTTCTTCTTCCCCTTGGGCTCAGCGTAGTGAAGTAACACAGAGTCACCTCTAAAATTGATTCACCATCTAGAAATATACCTATGAAAATACAATTATGATTAGACAAAAGAAAAATTCTCTGAAGGCCATTAAGAATCACATTTCTGCTGCATCCCTAACCATTGAAAAGAGAACATATTAGTCACTTAAACAAAAATAATGGCAACTAACTGATTTTTTAGAGAGATAACAATTAAGGGCAGCAAACTGCTTGATCACATTGTATAGGAGAAACAGAAAACCTAAAGATCACAACACGTAGAGCATAAAGTTATATCATTATGCCATGCATCTGTTGCATTGAACATAAAGTCAGAAAGCTTACCTATTCAGTTATTTCTCTAATAGACCTCTTTACCACGTGATGTATTTCTATCATCACCTTAAACTGCAATCTTTTTTATTAACAGAATTGTTCAATTTAACATAAATTTTCATATGTTGACCTTTATCTCTTTATCAAGGGGAGTTGATAAAAATCCCCCCTAGCCAGTGGTTCTTCTAACTAGAATGCATGAAGAAATCACAGTCAGGAGCACACCTAACATCTTACAGACTGAGTCCATGAGAACTTTTCCTAACATAGTGGGTATCCAATCAGCAGCTTGCATGCATGCTTTTAGTATGCTAGGCTTGCTGTTAGGAAACATGCTCCTACAGTGCTCAATTTAACATTAAAGTAAACAGCCCAAATACTTAACTGGCAGACCGTTAAGAAGAGCTAGTGTTAACGATACATGGAATGTGCATATCAGACTCCTTTCCAGAAATTTTGGAAGAGATGCACCAAAAGCCAAATTCCATCGAGGCCAATATGCAGTTAACTGAACTGTATGCACCATAGATATCACATCGCCAACAAAAACAAAAGTACCACAACAGTTCTGTTCAGCAATGTTGGAAGTACTGAAATCTAATGAGGAATTTCTTCTAATTTCCAGGCATTCAAGAGAATAAGGCCTTGAATATGTAATCTCAACCCAAATAAAACCTGGCAGCTGAACTGGACTTAAGCAAGACTTGTCCTTTAGATATTTAAAAAAAAACAAAAAATCGTAGTTAGCAGCATTAAGGAGTATATATCATTTTAAAGCAAATAAGAGCAAGGGAAGAAATGACAATATTGTTGACATGTAAAGATTAAATATTTACCTGGGAGCATATTTATCAAGCTTAACAACCTCCTTTGCATTCAAACAGGTTTTACTTCCTACCTTGTTCTGAAGACCATCTTGACCAACCATGTCTTCTGGTTTACTTGAATTAGAGCAGTCAATGCTATCAAATGCAGCAAGTTCATTAGGACAGTTTATTTGTTATCACTGAACATAATCTTCTTGCCTTCTTCCAATAATGAATTGGGACACAGTAGCCCTTTCTGCCACCAACTGCTCCAAATTTTTTTGAATAATAGGAATTAGACAAACCTTTAATCATTTTTTCATCTAACAGAGCAGTCATATCCCTCCACTCTTGTTCATCATGGATGTGTACACCATCCAATGACACTATTACATCCCCAGGGGATAAAACACCATATAAAGGTGATGTAGAAGCAACATCCAAAACCTATTCAAGGTAGAAGACAAGAGAAACTTGTTAAGCCTGGCTGATGATTATGTGAACCAGTGTAAAAAAATGCAAACAAAACAAGAAGAACTTTTGGTAAAATACCAAAGGGCTTTCAGCACGTATGTAAACAGGAAACAAGGCAAAGGGCAGGAGGAACAAAAATAATCCACAAACTGTACAGAACTGAAAAAAGGAAAAAAGAAAAAACATATATATATATATATATCACAACGCATTAGATTACCAAGTTCAAGAAATAGCCTAAACATCACAAGAGCAGAACTAGAACCAATTATAAGATGCACCAAATTGCAGAAAGGGCATGATAAAAACATTCCTGTAGACAGTAATTTTCAGAGACAATCAGAAATACATAACATAAAACATATTTTTGAAAGCTTACCACTGCATTATGCCAGATACCAGAGCAGTAAAGCGAGGCAATTCTCGCAACAAGTCGTAATCAAAAGCAACAAGAGCACCCGGGAATAGAAGTGCAACGAAAACAGCAATGTGTTCCAACCTTATGCCATCACTGCTACTCCAATTAACGAAGCCTACGGAACCAAACATTAGAGTCTATCGTTGTGCAGCTAAACTCCTCACCCTAACAAGTTCTTTGCCTATAATGAGATAGAGTACAAGAATGAAAAGGAGACCTGGTAGCCGCAACGGCGTGGCCAATTCATGGACGGTGACGGAAAGCAAAGTAGAAAGGACGAAAAATCCAGCGTCAGCTAATGATATTGCTCTAACTGAGGGGAAAATGCTCAAGCCGCCGAGCGTATTGCTTCCTCGGAACAGATGCCAAACAAGAATCTGATACCATAATGATAGAAATTAGTGAGAAATTGTCAAATTGTAATGTGAATCTGGGATTGAGAACAGATATAGAACATACAAGAGTAGCTAGGAGTGCGGTGAGGCTGAAACCGACGCCAACGGAAAACCAGTGTCGGAGAAACGCGGCGTGTTTCCGTCCGAAATGGAAGAGAGGATCATTGAAGACTTAGACTTTGAGGTCGCAGTAGCAACACGAAAGCGTGTTGTTTGGAGGAGAAGAAGGAGAAGAGCGGAGCGGGAGGAGACTACGGCGTGGCCCCTTCCGTATCTTCTCAGCCGCGTTCCTTCCATGGCTACCGAGCCGAGCAGAGGGATCTGTGACCGTCTTCCGCCGAAGAGAAGCCCGAACCCTCTCTTATCATTACTATCAAAATTTTCTATCCTGTCCTCGACGTTTGAGGTGAATATTGATTTGATCTCTGAGTATTCAAACATAACAGTTTAGTCCCTAAATGGGAGAAAGGCCATGTTTGTCACTTTTAGAGGTGTTTGCTACATAAATTTGAGGTTCCAATTGCGCTCTAAACTAAATTATCAACAATAGTGCTAACTATTATGCAGACTCCATTTTGTTTGGTTGCTAAAAATAGTTAATAGTTAGTTGTTAGATGTATGTTGATAGCAAATATCTAGCTTAAAATCAAATTATAAAAACAATGTGTAAACATCTTAACCAACTAGTTATTTAGGGAAAAAACTTACTAAGGTGTTTATTTTAGCATTTCAAAATAGGTATTAATAATTGACTCTTGATTCTAATAAAATGAATTACATAATCCAAATCAGTTGTTAGATATTTAATTATGTACTATTAATTATATTTAAGATATAACTATCAGTTAAATTAAACACACCTTTAATCATTAAAAATCAATCATTTCACTATTCATTGCATTTGAATTATATTTAATATATAACTATCAGTTAAATTAAACACACCTTTAATTATGTACTATTAATTAAACACACCTTTAATCACCTGTTGGCAAAAGTCCAAAGTCATTTCTTAGGTGTAGTTTTTGAGATTTAGACCTTTTTGTGGGCAAACCGAATGCACTTAAGCCTATTTGATTGTTTGATTAGAAAATCAGTTTATTAGAAAAGTAATTAGGAACGTATTATAAGAAAAATTAGAAAATATTATATAAAAGTTACTAAATTTTGTAATGCAGTTTTATTAGAATTTTGTTAAGTTATTATTATTATTATTATTTGTATTTGGTAAGAAATTGATATAAAAAAAATTAATAAAGAGCCTTCAAAAAGATCCAATATAAAGTAAGTTATAAAGAAACTTGTTTTTTAAAAAAAAAAGTAAGAAGAAAACTTTATGAGTTAAGAATTGTGTAAGAAAAAAAATATTTAAAATATCACTTTTACTCCATTTGATTGTAATATTAATATATAAATATATAAATATAATTTTATAAAGTAAAAGTTCAAAAAATTTTGAAAAGAGAGTTTCCTCCTACTAAACACCCGGCAAAAGGTACCCGTTTACCCCTTAACTTTTCGATTTTGAGGATTTTTACCCTCTATATTACAATACATGGATTTTTACCCTCCATATTTTCGAGTTTGAGGAAATGAGGCAAAATTTAATGCCGGGGCGTCACGTGTTGCACGTGCACCGTTGGCCTCCGTCAAGTATGCACATGTCAGCGCCACCTTAGACTTTTTTGACAACTTGGCATGCCAACTTGGACCACCATGAACGGGAAGTCTACCTGCTACCAATTTTATTAGTGGGCCCCACCGTTGACTAAAGGTTTGAAAAAAAAGAAAAGAAAAAGACAGATGAATGCAAAGAAATCTATTTAAATGATCCCTAGGGCACAAAGAGTTTTGAGTTTCCTTCTCTTCTCTGATCTTTAGATTCACGCCCATTTCATTTACTTGTTCAATGGCTAGCTCCAGCAGCTCTCACATTTCAGCACTGGTGGAATTTGGAAGACATGAGTATGATTACGAGGGGCCAAGTCAGTTTTGCTATTGTGGTTTGAAGGCTCCGAGGATCATGTCTTGGAGCGAAAAGAATCCTGGTCGAAGGTTTTTTGGATGCCCAATCTATGATCCCATGGTAATTTCTTCCCTAATGTTTGATTTTAAACTAGTGTGTTGTTAGGGGTTTTTATGTTAAGATATTTTGCAGGTATTATGTGGTAATGTTTAGGGTTTTGCTTGGCATAAAGATTGGGTTTCGATTAATTGTTAATGAAATGTGATTTTTGGACATTTGCAGAATAAAAAGCGACAGTGTAAGTATTTTGTGTGGTATGATCAAGATTTCTCTTTTAGG